TACAGTGGTGCCCCGCATAGCGACGATAATCCGTTCCGGATAAATCATCGCTATCCGGAAACGTCGCTATATGGGGCAAAAAAACCCATAGGAATGCATTAAACTCCATTTAATGTGTTCCTACGAGGGATAAACTCATTGCTAGGCGGGAATGCTCCATAGGGCCGCCATTTTCGTCGCCTCAGTAAGCGAGGAATCGGCACGAAAACACTGCGGGCAGCCATTTTCTTCTTCCAGTGGCCATTTTGGAACCGCCAATCAGCTATTCCAAAACATCGCACTGCGAAGATCGGTAAGCGAAACGCTTACCAATCATCACGATGCGATGTTTACTCTATCTAAACATCGCAATGCGATCGCTTTTTCGATCGCAAAATCCGCATCGCTATGCGGATTCGTCGTTAAACGGTACGCTCGTTATGCGAGGCACCACTGTACTTTCTTGGGCTCCATGATCACTGCAGATGGTGACAGCAGCCATGAAATTAAAAGAGGCCTGCTTCTTGGGAGGAAAGCAATGACAAACCTAGACAGCATCTTAAAAATCAGAGACATCACCTTGCCGACAAAAGTCAAAGCTATGGTTTTTCCAGTAGCGATGTATGGAAGTAAGAGCTGGGCCATAAAGAAAGCTAACCACCGAAGAATTGATGTTTTTGAATTGTGGTGCTGGAGGAGACTCTTGAGAGTCCCCTGGACTGCAAAGAGAACAAACCTATCCATTCTAAAGGAAATCAACCCTGAGTGCTCGCTGGAAGGACAGATCCTGAAGCTGAGGCTCCAATACTTTGGCCATCTCATGAGAAGAGAAGACTTCCTGGAAAAGATCCTGATGTTAGGAAAGTGTGAAGGCAAGAGATGAAGGGGACAACGGAGGATGAGATGGTTGGACAGTGTCATCGAAGCTAGCAACATGAATTTGACCCAACTCCGGGAGGCAGGAGGGCCTGGCGTGCTCTGGTCCGTGGGGTCATGAAGAGTTGGACACGGCTTAATGACTAAACAACAACAAAGTCCGAATCTGGCTGAAAGATAAAGAATCACCACATCTGATTAATTAAACAAAACTCCCTCAAAATTATATTTTTCAACATATGGTTTGCTTTCATTGATTATGTTAATAAGAACAAGAAGACTTTCATCCCACCTGCCTGTCGCAAGTCTTTGATGTGATGTTGTAATCTGATTACAGATGGTACTAATGTGAATGTGTTAAGCCTTCCTTAATTTGCACTATGATCTTCTGGAGTGCTGCTATATCTGATTACACGTTTCTTGTGAAAGACCTGTACAGTACTCTTATTTTGATGCTCTTTTTCCCATGTTCTTTCAATATAGTTTCTTAAAAATCACCAAAGAGGAAGAGGAGGCCTTTAAATTGCCCACCAACAGTGAACATGAAGACAGCAAACTAACAAGCAACTTTTCTAATCTCTGTTCGGGAATTACAAAACTGCTACTTCAAAAGCAAAACAACAACAATGAAGAGAAAGATTTCCCTTCCACTCAACAAGTGATGGCATTTATTTGTTGTTATTTTCAATAAACTCTGTTGCACCTTTCAAAGATAAAAGATTTTAATTAACTAATTGACTAAGCTGGTGTGCTCATTACCAAAAAAGATTAAGCACAGCAATAGATAAGCGTTTCCCAGAAACTGAGATGCTTCTGCATTAATGAACTAATATTTAATGGTTCAGTCTGTACCTTGAAACAAATATTTAAGGTTAGTAGAAATACTGAAAATATTGCAGAACTTCCTATTTTTTCCTACTGAAAAGAATGATTCAAAATAGGGAAGCATCCATACTCTTAAGCAATACAGTGTGTTGTAAATTTTGATTTTCACAGAATTTAAAACCAGTTGGGATTTCTAGTATCATTACACACGCTGACGTGTCAAAGTTAAAGAAACAGTACCATAACAGGCTCTAATACTGTGTCTGAATTATATATAGGCAAAACATTTTCTGTAATCATCCAAGCGGAGCAAAGGTAAGCACATATATTTGACAAAGAAAAAACACTTCCAATTCACAAACCAGTGGAATCTGTTACATATTTATGTAAGAAGTATGTATTACTATATTTTACCCACCTCCCAAAGAACATTGGTTAAAAGCTAATACCTGTATTCTAAACCTAAAAATGCCAACTAAAAAAAATTAAATGATTGCAGATTAGTTAACTTTGAGAATACAACCCTTTGGATACATATCAGGGAGAAAGTTCCACTGAAATCAACAGAATTCACAAACAATTTGAAGTAATCACATTGAGAACTAGCAAGAGTGTTCAGGGCCACATTGTAAAATGTTACCCTGTGATCAGAAGGAAGAAAAAACAAAAGTCAGCAGTTTCAGCTGTCAGCAGTGATTATCAACACTTTCATCTTTTGCTACTACTCTTATACAATCTTTCTTATTCTTATTTTCTTTTTCTTATACTATTAAAGCTTTTCATGAATAACAAACTCTTCAGTTCCTACTACAGTAGTCATGTTGACTACATACTGTATGAGAAGTGGTGTGCACCTGAACATTAATTACTGGGGTGCATGAACAGAAGATGCCAATGTATTCATGTCCTACTTATGGGTTTCTCTGTTTGGAGGATAATACTGAACTAGAGGGAGATTTGATCTGCTATAGCATGAACTTCTGATGCTTTGGATCAGTGGTTCTCAACCTTGGGTAACCCAGATGATTCTTGGACTCTCAGAAATCCCAGCCAGCACAAGGGAGTTGCAGTCCAAGAATACCTGGGTTAACCAAGGTTGGGAACCATCGCTTTAGATTATATCATCCTGCTGATAAGAAACTCCAGTAAGAGTCTGACTGGATTGTAGCTAACATGGACTGATGAAAAACAAGAGAATAGCACATGGGTGGAACTTGGAAAAGTAAATGTACTACATCTCCCAGAATCCCCAGGTAGCTCATCCATGCAGATTGGGAATTATACAGAATACATTCTGAGAATTACAGCCTCAAAAATTAGCTTTTTCAGAATCTAAGCTCGGGAAACCATTAGGACTACTGGGGGTGAAACCTCTTTTCAAAATGAAACCAAAATAAAAAAGCAAAGCATAGCCACAAGCCATTTAAAAAGACAGTCCGGTGAAGACTGAGTATGTTAAGCACCTATGGAATATGAAGTGGCAACTGGAAAATAAAGGACTATATGGGGAAAGGTGTGGAATGCCTTTCCTGAAGAGATCAGTTGAGTGGAATCCTGGATTGAATATAACTCGTTTAATAAATAAGGCTTGCAGTAAAAGCCTATTTACTCAATAGCAAACGCCATTATGTCCAGTGAATCACATGCTAGTAAATGTAAAAGGAATCAGATCTCAGTTTTTTAAATCCTATAACCACTTAGCTGGGGGTAAGTCCCATTCAGCTTATTAAGGCCTATTTCTGAGGAGACATACTTAGGGCTGCTCTGTTAAAAAAAACTGTGCATTTTCTATGCATTCCTAAGACTTCCACACTACTTTTAACTGAATTTTAAAATATCTGAGATGCCCTCTGGTCCTATCAAACAGAAAGTATGCTATATTTGCAAACCAGGTTGTTGAACAGGGGGGAAAAAGAATATGTGAAGCAAATAATTTTCTTGATCAATAATCACATTTAAGTAACCAAAATGTTACTTAAATTATTTTGAACAGAAATAATATTGTTTGACATGAAGCTGCTGGCTGATAAAACACTATAAAGAGAGGGGGGAAATGATCAGTCAACAGTTTGTTCTCCCCAGTCGGGAAAGTCACATGCCTTGTTTCATCAACACTGGTGTAACATTCAAATCCCAAGAAACCGGTTTGTCTCCTTCTCCCGCAAGAGAACATTGCTCAGCTAATTAAATTTCACCAACTAGGTTAAAAAGACCTTCAGGATCTACTACAGAACTGCAGTGTTGGAGGGGACCCCAAGGATCTCAAGAGTTCAAGCCCCTGTTAAAACAGTAAATCCATGGCTAAAACATTTCAGAGAGAGGGCCATCCAACCTCTGTTCAAAAATCCCCAATGATGAAGCGTTTACCATCTTCTGAGGTAGTCCATTCTCCTGTCAAACAAGGGTTCTAAAATTTAGTCACAGCCTCCTTTCTAGTAATGTTGATCAATTAGCTTAGGTCCCATCTTCAGAATCCACACAAAATAAGCTTGCTCCATCTTACACAGGGCAGTCCCTCAAATATTTGAAGACAGCTCTCCTTCACCTTTCAGTCTTCCCTCTTCCAGACTAAACATACTCAGTTTCCTCAACTGATCATCATAGCGCTTCATGCTGACACCCCTCTTCTTAGCTCCACATCTAGCTGTTAAAGCAAAGACAGGTAAAATACTTTTGGACTGCAACTCCAGACATTGCTGGATTGTAACTCCCCGAAGCCCTACCCAATACAACTGATGGGGAAGACTGCCTGGAGATGCAGCCCAACAAGATCAAAGAGTTGCATTTTGCCCACTTTATTTTAATACTGGCTCTGAGACTTATAAAATGTAAAGTTTTTGTGTGAATATCTCCAAGCTTCTAAGAAGACCAGCAATGTGAACGTACATAGCTATGTTCCATTCAACACCAACAGAATCCACATGCACATATCTCGGATCATCTAGAAGCCATTCAGATCACTGCCAATACATCTTCAATACAGTATTTTGGCCTAGCCCTGTCAATATTATTCAAGCATTACATTTTTAAGACAGCAGTTTAATTACAGTATATATATATATGTGATTGATTGATTGATTGACTGACTGATTGATTGACTGACTGACTGACTGACTGATTGACTTCCTGCCCATCTGGGACTCACTGATTGATTGATTGATTGATTGACTTCCTGCCCATCTGACAGTGACGGCCACTTTGGGAGGTTTACAACAATAACAAAACCATAAAATAACAAGATAATATGATATCAGAGTTAAAATGCAAATTAAAATATCATAAAGTGAAGGACAACGTTAGAACACAATCCATTACAATTAATATAATTAATAGCATAATATATGGTGGCATATAAGTTAGTGCGTTATCGGATATACTGTTGTTGACTCCGGGAAAACATGTCTGAACATCCAGTTTAATAACTTTTTAAAGGTGCCTAGTGAGGGAGCCAGGAGAACTTCAGGCGGAAGGGTATTCCACAGTTGTGGGGCAACCACCGAGAAGGCCCTATTTCTAGTGGCTATTTTCCAAGCCTCTCTTGGGGTCAAAACTCTCAGCGGGCAGATCTAACTGGAGGGAAGTGCTCAGCCAGATATTGAGGCCCCAAACCATTGAGGACCTTGTAGGTTAACACCATCACCCTGAAACTCAGGGTGGAGTTCCAGCCCATGGAGGCTCTGGAATTGGGCCTTCCACTGCACCTCAGAAAGACAAACCTCACCATCTCTGATCACTGAATAAATAGGGTAGGCACTGCCTTTCCAAATCTCATCTGAAAAAAACATATTGAATATCACACATGCTTTCTCCTGTTTCAGTTCCTTTGTCCCATTTTAGCCCCTCCATATGCCGATTTACCCTTACATGTCTCCTTGGTTTTCTCTAACTTTATGCAACTTTGATCCCTTTTTAAAGCTTAGGAAGCCACATTACCGCAGTCCAGCATCTGGAGGGCCACAGGTTCCCTTATACCAGCAGCAACTATCCAGAATTTGAAACAAGAGTCCATCCCAGCCTTATCTGTAAATGGTGAACCTGTACCTTTTCCTTCATATCTGAACTACATTCCTCTACTTATTGGTCCCCAAGGCTTATTCAAGGCCCTTGTTTTGTTTTTTTCTAAATATATTCCTTTTATGTGTTAATTGCTTTTATTTTGTTTTTATTGTATATATTGTATGCCACCTTGAAAACTTGGCTTTACAACAAATTACACTTAAAACTCCATTAGTGCCAACTGACTGAACATATTTTGCATTTACAGCTCAATATCAACACTTAAAGCTCTCCTATCATCACACTATTAGACGGCACCATTATTTGGCTGCAGCTACAACTCTGAAGACTGAAAAGACAGTATGGCAGACCAGTTACCATTTTGTGGGGAACCTGGCCTTGCAGCCATTAAGCTTAACAGGGTGTCCGAGATTGTTGTGAAGATAAAACCAGCCAGGTGGCCCACAGGCTGCCTTGAACTTTTTGGGAGGACATAAAACATTAATAGCAAATAAATAAATGCATAAATGCATTAAAACTGACTTGGAAGCAAACGCCGCAAGTAACAATAGGTTTTATTATTGAGCAAATAGGGTCCCAGGTCTTTGTCATAAATATCGGTATCCATATGACATTGCAGAAACAACACTTGATGTCATATGGATACGGATATTTACACGAATATAAAGGGACCAATATTGGCCCCTTTCCCCTCAGAGCTGCTCACATAAACAAAACCTGCAGGAGGCGAGAAGAGGGCAAAGAAATGTCAGGCGGGCGCGTTAACTGTTTCAAGCGGAGGAGGCGGTCAAGTGGCCTGGAAAGGGGTGACTGACGGTGGAAAAAAGGCTCCTCTGGCGCCTTTACGGCAGCCTTGAATTCAGCAGAGGCTCCACTATGCTCAGCGGACCTTACTCCCGTGTAAAAAGGTGCCTTGAAGCGAGCTCTAGGGAGGTACAGTTCCAGGAGCGCCTTCAAAAAACGGGCCCTCCAACCAGCTCGATGGGATAAAAGTCGACGCAGGCCCTCGAAGTAAAGCTGCCTTCCTCCCCAAGGTCAGCCCCGGCGCGACTCTCTCTCGGCGGAACCATGAAGGACGCGCTGCCCGAAGGCACCGGCCGGCCCGGGCGCCTGGATGGCGAGGCCAGCCAGCCATTCATTCGCGATCCATTTGGCTCCGGGATCGAAACGGAGCTCCCAGGGCACGAACGGGGGAGGAAATCTTTGGAAGCTGCTCCTCTCCTCGCACCGAAACTGGCCACGCTCGTAATCGGCGGCGAGACGCGCGGCCCAGAGAGGAGGCCAAGGAAATGTCAGTAGGGCGCCTTTCTGTTTCAAGCCGAGGAGATCAAAGTGGCCCTGGAAAGGGGGAAGGTGGTGGTGGTGGCGCCTCTTGCGCTTTTAAGACAGGCTCCGATTCAGCAGAAGGCGAAGCTTTGCAAGGGAAACCGAATTGTGCCCACCTGCTAAGTGGTGCTCTTTTAATGTTCCTTATGAAGGGGTTGGCTGGAAAACCCACTCATCCCCCCCACCTAGTCACCCACCCCATGGAAGGCCACGATCCTCTGCCCTACATCCGAGTAGCTCCAAGAACGTGGGGAAGCTCAATGCCGAGGAGAGAGCAGAGGGCGCGCCTCCCTACCCTCTCCGCGCGCCTTTTTTTTTTTACCTTGGCCGGGGCTCGGAGGATGCGCTTCGCCGTCTCCCCCGGGGAACCCCAGCGGGAAGCGGTGGGAAGCCAGCGGCGGAACCGAGAGAGGAGAAGGAGGCTCTGAGCCGCCATCTTTCGAGCCGGTGCGAGGCGGAGGGAGGCAGGCAGGCGCCGGGGCAAAGGAGCGGCGGTGGATTTGGAGAGCCAAGCCCGGGAGGTGGCGGCCGGTGCCCAACCCACTTGGGCCACGATGCTTGTGGAGACGGGGGGAGAAACCGGGCCCCGCCTGGCCGCCGAGCAATGCGATCGCCCAGAGCCGGGGGAGGGTCGGGGGCTTGGCCTTGACGTCGCCTTTAACTGTTCCCACCCCTAGGAGAAGAAAAAAGCCGGGCTCGCCCCTATAGGCCGGCGGCCAATCCGCGCTTTAAAACAGCCACTGTATTCCTGCAGATCAGCCCTATGTTAATCCAGATTTAACTGTCAATTCCCGTGCCCTTAAGGAAGCTGACTCCTGGGGAGAGATTGGGGCTGCAAGGCTGTGCAGAGGTAATTTGGAATTAGAGTGAGACCCCATGTCTGAGTGAGTGAACACGTTTCAGATTGCGCTGCAGCAACTGGGAAAGGATAATGGAGTTGAGAGGGACTTACTAGACCAGTAGTCCCCAACCTTGGATCTCCAGATGTTTTTAGACTACAACTCCCAGAAGCCTTCACCACCACATCTGCTGAACAGGATTTCTGGGAGTTGAAGTCCAAGAACATCTGGAGGCCCAAAGTTGGGGACCACTGTACTAGACCATCGAGTCCAACCCCCCTGCTCAAGGCAAGGATCCAAATCAAAGCAGATCTGCCAGCTGCTTGTCTAATTTTCTCTTGAATGCCTCCAGCATTGGAGCTCTCGCCACCTCCTGCGGGGATTGGTTCCATCGTAGTATGTACTGCTCTAACAGTTAAGACGTTATTTCCTGATACTCACTTGAAATGTGGCATCTTGTAACTTGAGCCCACTGGAAGAAGAGCCACTGGAAACCACTCAAGTTGGTTAATATGTATGGTGAAGCCCATGAAAGGAATGTCTATTCACAAATGAAAGCACACTAAAAATTCAAGGCAGGTTACCCACACACTATTAAAACAGATTAAATATTTGCAAACTAATGCAAATCATAACAAATCCTATATTTTTTGCCACTGGAAACCACTCAAGTTGGTTAATAATATATATGGTGAAGCCCAGGAAAGGAATGTCTATTCGCAAATGAAAGCATGTGTTGTGCTGGAGGGCCTAATGGTTGCCCATCATCATCATCAATTACCACATCTGTATTTGGCCTTCCCACTAAAAATTCAAGGCAGGTTATCCACACGCTGTTAAAACAGATTAAATATTTACAAACTAATGAAAATCATAATAAAATCTATATTTAAAAAAAAACTTTTAAAATCGCAACAATTAAAACAAAATCAATTAAAAAAAAGAAAAGGTTTAAAATGCCAGATTGAAGGGATGCATCTTCACACCCTAAAATTAATGAGAATTGGAGATAACGCTGACTCTGAAGAGAATACATCCTCTATTCAGGAGCCACACACCAGAAATCCCATTCTCATGTGCCAGTCAAGCAGACTTCAGCACCATGTGCTTAAGAATCCAGATTTCAATGCCAGAGATTTAAAAAAAAACTAACGAGTTGTGCAAAAGCATTCCTGCGCCTCTGCCACCTGACAGTCTTGGGTAGAGCACAAAGTTAAGGAATGCTTCTAGCTTATGAACCTGGCTTTTCAAGGGGAATGCTGTTGGTGTTATTACAACCTCGCATGCTGCCTCTGGGCTGGAGTGACTGTCAATCTATCCAACTCTAGCCAGTCCTTGCTTCCCTGCCTCTGAATTCAAAGAGAGCTCCGCCTCTCTCCTTTTGAGCCTGACAGTCTTGGGTAGAGCACAAAGTTAAGGAATGCTTCTAGCTTATGAACCTGGCTTTTCAAGGGGAATGCTGTTGGTGTTATTACAACCTCGCATGCTGCCTCTGGGCTGGAGTGACTGTCAATCTATCCAACTCTAGCCAGTCCTTGCTTCCCTGCCTCTGAATTCAAAGAGAGCTCCGCCTCTCTCCTTTTGAGCTTTCTCCCCTCTGAATTCAAAGAGAGCTCTGCTTCTCTCCTTCTGAGCTTTCTCCCTCCCTCTCTCTCTCTCTGTTGGAAGCAGCTCCCTCTCTCTCTCTCTCTCTCTCTGTTGGAAGCAACCAATCATGTTTGTCAGTTTGCTGTTTGATCTGTTCAATGGTGCATGAGTCTAGCTTTATCAAGCCTGTGATAAATAGACACAACCCCCTGCAGAAATTTCAGCGGTTGCAGTTCTCACCTTTAATGCTGGAGGAAATGCTACCAATTGATTTTTTGCCTGTTAGCAGTCAGAACTGCAGGCAGGGTGGTGGTGGAGTAGGAAAAAAAGGTTCAAACTACAGCAGTCAGAACTGCAGGCAGGGTGGTGGTGGAGTAGAAAAAAAGATTCAAACTATAAATATTGCTACTCAGAAAATATTGGTAATATCTCAGAACAGAAGAAACCAAGGTACTCAAAAGAAAAAAAATGTGTAGAAGTATAAATCAGCTTCTAACTGCGTAAAACTTGAAACAAAGATTAAGACATGGGTGGGGCCATTTATCTCAGCCTTGCATAGACTATCTTTAACTGTACAGACAGATTCAGCACCTAGTACATCCAGTTTGTGGCTGTCTCTTAGATTACACATTTCCTGAGATGTGTCATACCTGCATTCAGTGTTGACAAGTGCATTGCTCTGTAAATAATGGTGGTGCCACACATTGCCCATTCTGAGTATATTTTCATTTTACTGAAAGTTACAGGAGAATACTTGTTCAGATTGGTTTTTTCACATATATTTGACCTCTCACCTTAAAAGAAAATCAGCATTACAAAAAGGAAGATGCAATAAAGTACTTCCAGGAACTCAGCCGGTTTTGCCAGGTGGGTGTGGGCATGCACACATGCATGGGGACCAAAAACAAACATTTATTGTTACAGCAGTGTCACCCAAAGATACTACATATTATCATATATCTTTTATTGAGCTGCAAGCATTATGTTTCCCAGGAGAATGTGCAAAGTTATTAGATCATTGTAATATACTGCAAGCATTATGTTTCCCAGGAGAATGTGAAAAGTTGTTATTAGATCATTGTAATATAGCACACTGATAAATGAAAAAGATGTGGAAACATGCCTATATTGTACTAATGGCCTTGTGTTTCATGTTGGCAGGGGAAAATGCGGTGCAATCATTTACAAGTTTTTTAAATGTTTAATTTCACAAAGACTTCTGTCATGAATGTCAGCCAATGCTTATTTCAAAAGCCCTGATTATACTGGAAAGAGGGGCCTGTAAAATAACATGTACAAAGGGAAGAGACAGATACATCACAAGGAAATGTGTCCTGAAATAGGAACAGGACAAGAAGTGCAGGGCAACCCTGTGGACTATTGAATGCAGTCCTAACTGAAAGAGGCTCTACTTATAAGGGGCAGGCAGAACCCCCGTCTGTTTGTGGAAATCATCTTGTGGAGAGAAAAATGCCCTCATGTCAGCACAAAAACCTTGGGTGGTGATTGAGTTCTTACAATCTCGCATGCTGCCTCCAGTAGGTGTGGCTTGGAGGGACTTTTCTGAGCTGGAGTGACTGTCAATCTATTCAGCACTAACCAATAGTTCTGTTCTGCCTGTGAATTCAAAGAGTCCTACCTCTGCTCAGCTTTTTCCCCCTCTTTAGTCTGTTGAAGGCTGATGATGAAAGCAGTCATGTTTGTCAGTTTGCTGTTTGATCTGTCCAATTGTAAGTAGCGAAATACTTTATTCTTTCCCCTACTAATGTCTTATTGAGTTATTGAGACTGTAAGTGCCAGTTAATGAGAAAAGTGGTGGACTAACTCTGAAAGCAACTCTGCTCTGAAAATCCTTCTCAGCCACAGCTTCTCTAAGCAGTATGTGAGGTTGTAAAAAATTCCATCAGATGTGCCAGTTAATGAGAAAAGTGGTGGACTACTCTGAAAGCAACTGTGCTCTGAAAATCCTTCTCAGTCACAGCTTCTCTAAGCAGTATGAGAGGTTGTAAAAAATTCCAACAGATCTTCCCTTCCTTTCTTCCTGTTCTTGTAACACATCTACAGATACCGTAGTTGCTCAGGCACTGTAGAACTTTGCAGTAGCACCCTGAATCTCATAACCCTGGCAGCCTTTTTCATTTGCTTCTTTGGGTCTATATTTCCCTGTATTAGTTACATAGTTTGTTAAATCTTTGCTATTCCCCAATTTAATTCAGTTTAGTCATTGTGTATATTTTAATTATTGTGCATTCAATAAATTCCCCTGTTGAATACTTATTGTAATAACCCAATCTGTGTCAAGAAACACCATTGCCATAGTTCAAGGATCCCTCATGGGATCCAAACATGTGTGAGTCCATATATGTGCTCTGAGACACATTAGTTGTTAGGACCCAATCTCTGTCAAGAAACACCATTGCCATAGTTCAAGGATCCCTCGTGGGATCCGAACATGTGTGAGTCCGTATATGTGCTCTGAGAGCAATACTCAGAGTCATTGCCTAATTACAGTAATACTGGAAATTACTCATGGAGAACTGGTAATAGCATTGCCTAAAGTGCAGTTGAAGCAAGAGAGCAGATAAGGACTTATAGACTGAAATAACTGAAAACAATGTTCAAAGCTGAATCAAAATATTTTATTTTATTTATAAGGACACTGCTACATCATTTTCAGTTCCAAATAAATAAATAAATAAATCCCAAAGCATAGTGCAACACTGCCACCCATGAATACAATAAAATCAAGTAATAAAACCGCACAACAAAGGTAAACAGTAATATTCCATATTGCCAGGTAACAACTCCTTTTTACAGCTATGGCATATCATGTTGATATTTTTATTGATCACAGTCCCAAGTGCCCTTCCTTGTCAATCTTGACTGGCTCAGCCCCCAACAGTACACGTATTGGTAAACCTAGGAAACTTTGCTTCCGCTTCCAGTCACCCACCATTTATGGGCATTTTCCAAAGAAAACTGACAGTTGCTATGTGCCATACATAGAATATAGAAACCAGTGGACCCAGAGTAATCTACTGTATTTGCTGGTGTATAAGACTATTTTTTTGCCCTGAAAAACATGCCTCCAAATGGGTGGGGGGTCGTCTTATACGCCGGGTGCACTTCAGTTGGGATAAGCATAGCTGCCAATTGTGGCCTTCCGACTGCACTTCAGTTGGGATAAACATAGCTGCCAATTGTGGCCTTCCGATGCTCGCCCTGTGCCCATAGT